AAACTACATGAAGGTTTCGGATTTCTATTTATAATTAAGAATAATAAGTCGTGTGATAGAGAAATTGATTTTGAAGTATAATTATGTATAATTTAACGCTTGAAATATTCCAGTAATCTCGAAGAGATAGTACAACCTATAGATGACATACTTGTCGGGTACAAAAACAACAACAAAAGGTTTGAGAGATTTATTTTTCTTAACCACCAATTAAACAGAACTTGAAAGGATACAGATCATCATTATCGGAGTATTCTACGAGATGTTTTGGGAATCACATTTGAGAAGGAACCCGTGATGTAATTGTAGAACGATGAACCAGTTAGATTAAAATCATACGTTATTCATGTTAATAAGCGTCACGCCCATTTATCCCGTCTTGTTATTGCGTGTTTTAAAACATTAGTTCGAATGTATAAGTTTGCTAATTTATAAATGGAGGGTTGTGGTCTGGAAAGCGTCGCCTTATACTAATTTGCCAACAGATGCTGTTTGTAATGTTGCTAAAAGTAACATTATTATTTTTTCAATCCTTTGTTTCACAAAAATCGAAATATTTTTTATTCATGAACAGGTTGTAAGAAGTGTACACTGTAGAAGTTCTGCTTATAGATGGCGTTCTTATAAAATATAAATGCTGAATACCAAAGTTTGTGATGACGAATTACATGCCCCACACTATACTTTTACCTATAGAATTTAAAATTAACATTTTTTTATTTGAAGAAAAAGAAAACTTCTTGTTGTGTTTACAGATATAACTTTCACTGACTTAGCCTTTTCAGAATAATGTGATTTGAGTTTTTATATATTTTTTATCAATATATATATAATATATATATTTAATTTATCGTATAACTTGATGGTTTCACAGCCCAAGATACAAAGGTTGAAATTATGTGTAACGCCTGTTAGTAACTAGGTCAAAATAATAACACAAGATGTTAACTTTAGATCACACACTTACCTACACGAGGCTCGGGGACAGGTAGCATGCTTCATGACTTACTCATTCAGGCTTGTTCAGCAGCTAGTAGTTGCTTCAGGTTGATTGAAGAAAGTTGAGGAGAGCAAGTTGTTCTTTTACAAAACCTGCAGATGCTAATTAGTGCGTGAAACTGGTAGTGTCACATTTAAGTACTTGTAACTTGCTCCTCTTTTTTTCACTAAAAGAAAAGTAGCATAACATTCCGACACGATTCTTTTACAGCTGCTTAACCACCAGAAGAGTAAAATAAGTTTAGAATTTGAAATCGGATTCTCTGGAGTATTAGCTGAATATGAAACGCGTCATACTTTCCTACGACCTTGTGAAACGATCAAAATATTGAAACGGTGTAAATCGTTTCACTGTTAATTATTGTAACGCCGCGTTTTACGTAGTTATTTTTGAGAAAGGATGGGACTTTTTGTTACGAAAAAAAAAAAATAATAACGAGAAGTATGAGGGCTTATAACGCTGAAAACAGGGTTTCGATATTTGGGGTGGGCATAGTAAAGATTGCCTATTGTGTAGCTTTGTGCTCAACTACAAATAACATTAAAAAATATAAACATATAAGCCTCTAGACCAGTTAGAAAATTAAGAATATTCTATAAGTCATACAAAAAAATTGGTTTAATAGAAAAGCTATCAGTAGATGATTGTCAAAAACTTACTTTTTAATAGTAGATATAGTAATGTAAATACATGAGTGTTGGGCTAAGGATTCTTCTGCAGTAGGTGTCTGTGACTTGTTGGCGATAAATTCGACAATAAACAAATAGCACGCACTCCACTTGTTTCTAAAATATTATATATATATTCTAAACAAGTTAAACGTGTGTACAAAAAATTCTTTACACTATGATGATCATAATTGTATCTTAAACTCTATACATTTCTCTTCTTATTGTTAAAAGTACATTTAGGCCAATTCAATTGCTTTAGAATCCAGTTGACAAGCCGAACTATTTTTATCTATCTTATCGCAATAGTATTTGTGTATAACTCACTTATGCTGTCGCATGAATTACCGCATTTGTATCCTGAACTTCCAATAATCGTTTGCCTTTTGTCAAAGTCCACACAGGTGGGTTCAATTAGTTTACATCCTTTGACGAGACAAATTCTTCTTCTTATATCTTTCAAACTGTTAATCTCACTCTAACTTATCAATCGTTAGGCCATTCACTCCCACGACAGTTAACTTTACTTTTTCTAACTTTTCTCTGACCAAACTTCTCTTTCACATGATTTTACTTTTACTTCATTTCCGCTTGTCTGGTCACAGCTATTTGTACGTCTATTACGTAGGCCTTCTAGTAACCTCCATAGCCTCGACATCAATGGATTGCAAACACAACATTCAATAGCCTTGACATCAATGAATTACAAACACAAAATAAATAAATTGATAATACTACGTACACTGAACAGTCTTTTATATTTGATAATGGTAGAAATTACTTCCATGTAAATGCTATTTGTTCTAAACGCTTAAGTAATAGTTTAAAATTTCTAATGTAATCGCTTTTATCAATTTTGCACTTTCTCAGTTTCGCGATTGTTTCAACTTTTACTAAACCTATAAAAAATATTTCTTCTTTTTCAGTTAAACCTTATCTCTTGAGTACGTTTTTCTTATAAATATTGATAATTTTTATCTTTTACCCATTTACCAATTAAAAGCTTTTGTTACTTCCCTTCTTTTCAAATACCTTTTTCTTAATATCTCCAGGACTATTTCGGTTCTAAATTCATTGTCATTGGGCTTTTTTCAATATCTGTATTAATAATTTTCTTTTTCTTCTGTATACAAATTCAGTTATTTCTCAGTATTTTCCAATGATTATTTATAAAAGAAATTTTTTTTTATATTTCAGTTAAACGTTTCCTGTTATTTAGAGGAATGTTTTTCGTTCTTACTGTACTCAAATCTGCTCAACAGTTGATTATCAGAAAGTATACAACTTTTAAGTGTTTTTGTGAAGTTTAATTAAAGCATATTTAAAAGATTGGGTCTCCAGACAGCGATAATTTCGATTTTTCTAAACTTTCTGTTGTTTTATCCTATATCTTGAGTCACACAATGTTTTGTCATTGTTCATAGGTAGTTAAAAAACAACAACAACTAATGTTAATGTCAAAAGTGAGTTATTTTTCCCTATTAAAATTATACATATTAACCCTGGCCTAGATCTGGTCTTACAAGAAACTTGCAACATGATGCATGTGATTTCAACCTTCATTAGCTTTATAGAATTGAAATAAGTCTTCATTGATTAAACGTATTAACGAATTTCTAAACTTCTTAGTTTCCGTATCCTGATCTATTAATAGCTGAAAACCCATATTGGTGTAATTCGATCTTTCAAACTTTTAATGTTCAATAAGGTGATTTGAAATTATGCTAAATAAAATTACATTGAGAAAGCTGAAAATTAAAAAACAAACCAAACTGGATACCCATACCACCCGTATACAAGTTACGGCAATGTTATCCTATATAAATAACAATGAGAATGCCGGTAGATGTCACCAATTTTATTGACTTCAGTCAAATTGATCGCTAGTTGAGGTGTGAAAGAGAATCTCTAGCAAAAGGTTTGTTGTATTAATATAATGTCAACAAACTGCAACTATAATCTCAAAACTCTCCCTCTCTCCTTTATTTTTATCTAATTTTAAAGTTTTCTTCATATAGGAACATCAACACCAAAATATTATGACTGTGGAGCATGATGAATTATCTCAACCAGCATAGCAATTTTTGTTCTTCCAGTTATACGTGTCAGATATGTATAATATAAAACTAGACTAATTTTCTTTCTGTAACTAGAAGCTGTTTTCTGGTTTGACGACTTGGGTTGGGATAAATTTCTCTCCGTTATAAATGGCCCGGTGGTTAGGGCACTCGACTCGCAATCTGCAGGTCGCGGGTTCGAATCTCCGTCCCACCAAGCATGCTCGTTCTTTCAGCCGTGGGATCGTTATAATGTGACGGTCAATCTCGCTATTCGTTGGTAAAAGAGTTGGCGGTGGGTGGTGCTGACTAGCTGCCTTCCCTCTAGTCTCACACTGCTAAATTAGAGACGGCTAGCGCAGATAGCCCTCTTGTAGCTTTGCGCGAAATCCATAACAAACAAACAGACCGTTATAAATACACAAATTACGTGACTATAATACTGTTCGAAGGAATTATCAATTGACATTTTAACATCAGAACAGTCTGTATAGGATTTTACTGGCTCAGCTCAGATAAATCTCTGTAAGTAAACCACCCAGTTAAACTTTATTTTATCGGGTCAGCATTTTATAATAATTTACCCCCCCCCCCCAAGAAAAAGAAAAGTAGATGCTAAGTTTTAAACTGTAATTTTCTTTAGAATTTCTTTAGTATAGGTTTAACAGTTCGTTGTCTTGGATTTTTCGGACTCAAGTTGATGTTTATGATTGACTTTTAATAATATTTCAAGAAAATGATGTTGTATTTTTTTACAGTTTTGCTTCTATTGAATCTTACCTAAAGTTACTCGGGGGGAAGGGGGCTATCTGTGCTAGCCTTCCCTAATTTTGTGTGTGCTTTCTTATAGTAAAGCCACATCGGACTATCTGCTATGTCCACCGAAGGGAATCGAACCCCTGATTTTAGCGTTGTAAATCCGAAGACTTACTGCTGCCTCACTGGGGGACACTCTAATTTTGAAGTAATAGACTAGAGGGAAACCAGTTAGTCAACACCACCCACCGCAAACTCCTGAGTTACTTTACCAATAGTAGGTTTGACCGTCAAATTATAACGCTCCAACAGCTGAAAGGGCTAGCATATTCGGTGATAGGTTTCAACTCCGTGACCAGCAAACTGCAAGTCGAGCACTTTAACCATTAGGCCATTTCATTCCCTTTCTTATAGTGTCTGTGAGTAGTAGTTGTGAGCTTTGATTGATTACTTACAATATAAATTTATAAATTCTCTGCAATATTTTGAAAATAATGTTTATTGTTTGTTTTTAAAACTAGCTTTTAGAACAGGAGAAGTACTCCTTAAAAAGGAAGCTTGATGCATTAGAAGGAGAATATGACAGCCGAGTTGCCGAGCTCCAAGTGGACTTAACCGAGCTTCGAAAGGAGCTGCAGAAACATCAGAATCTACTCAAATTCACGGAGAAAGAGAAGAAGCAGGTAGTTCAGGAGCTACAAGATCAGAATGAGCGACTAACCGAGGCCTTAAAACAGGTACTTTTTCATAACTGAAACAACACTTAGCACGACCTTCTGGAAACTGTGATTATTACCTTTACAGACTATTATCCAGTGACTACACTGTTTGGTATAGTTTTAGCTTTATGATTTTATGTTGATTGTAAACGTTCTCCGATATGTCCATCTTTAAAACATAGTAATAGTGATATAAGTGTAGTGCTTTTAGTTGTATTTTACTCACCACAACGAACCTATGTTTACATAAGATGGATTTGTCCAGGGTTATTGATGAGGGGTGGAAATCGATATAAATCAGTGACAAGTGATGACTCGAATAATAGATTGAGTTTCTTATTTATTTTTATTTTTAGTATAGCAATATTGTTTGTTTAATTTTAACTTGAATTTCGGCTTATGTTTTTTAATGATTTGGAACTAAACTTTAGATTTGATAATTAGAGAAAGAGAAATAGATTAAATTAAAAGACTGTTTATGTTTTTTAATTCGATGACAATAATGTTAGCTGTTTTAGGGGGGGAATAATCTAGATGTAATGAACTGTTTTATAGCATCTACTTGAAGAGTTTGAAGTACACTGATAAAAGGATCAGCCTGGAAATAACACAATTACAAGGCTTTGTATATACTTGGTGAAAAGTCAAAGTTCAGCCTCTATCATTCATTAATTTTAGAATTAACAGTGACGTTTTTTGTTTTACACATCATTATGAACAACAACAAAATAAAATGTATTGAACTCATCGTAAGTTGTTTTCTGAGACCCATAATATGAGTTTATGTTATTACATAAACCTGAAATACAATTTAAATAAACTTATTTTCAGGCCAACAAGTCAGAAGGACAGTTGTCCAACCAAGTGAAGTGTCTGCGCCAACAGTTTAACCTTCGTAGGTCCAGTCTAACTGATCACGTGGTTCAACTAGAAGAACTCAGAGAAGAGGTGGGTTATCTAGTTTGATATAGTTCTTTATAACTAGTGTGATATTAAAACTCACATTAATCCGTTTTGAGCCTACTAGAATGACGCCTGAGTTGTGACTGTTTTCATCACTACTCCGTTTGTGGCGTTATGATAGATTATTTAAAAAAACAAAAAACAATTAAATTTGCTAGCATGTCATACACTGTTTCTGCATTATGGGGTAGAATGATCCCTGATCTAAACAAAACACTGTTTAAATTATGGTTTTAGTTACACGTGCATTGTCAATAATTGATAACTGTGTGTGGTTTTGTGTATGTGTTAACTTCATTAAAAAAGATAAGCACACAGTTTTAGACCGAACGAAGGTCTAACGCATTTACGCCATCTGTGGAGAGAATTTGACATAACAGCTCCTGCTACTTAAAATATAATTTTTTTCTGTTCTTATTTTTAGATAGATATGTTAATAGAAAAGAAAGCTGATCTAGAACGTCGGACAAGAGAAGTTATAGAAGAAAAGGAAGGACTGAGTGTTTCATTAGAGGAGTCGAGCGATCGGATATCGGTGCTAGAGAGACACAAGGAGGAACAGGATCAAATGGTAGATTTTCTCTATAAAATTATAAATATATACTAAGTTTTAATTCGAAAATTTTGAATTTATTTATGGAGATATTTCTATTAAATTTCGAGAAACTTTATTTCTACAGCACAACTTTTTTCTTTGAAAATCATCAATATTATTATACTCAATTATTTAATTGTTAATATTATTATTTGATTACTCATCATTTTACTTTTTATTTCAAATTCTAATTTCTACAATTATTTGTATTTTTTGGTTAGATCCGAAGCCAGAAGAGAGATCTAGAAGAACTTAGACAGGCAAATAGTGAGCTCCAGTTCAAGCTGGACAGTGTTCTTAGGCGGAATAGTTCCCTTAGTTTTGGCCAAACGTCCATCTTTACAGAAATAGAAATGTTTTCGAGTTCGTCAGTTGACGAAGAATTAAGATCCCTTAACGCAAATCACGTATGTTTAGTGAATTAATATCAATAGTTATTTAATTGACGTTGTTGAATACGTCGATTTCAGGATATTGTGTGTGTGTGTGTGAATGTTGAAACTTTTCTTGGTAGACTTAGATCAATTAACTATTACGAGTGTTCTATTACTTTTAAACATTATTTAATTTCAATATCGGAAATTTGTCTTCTAATATTTTTAAATTACTGAAACACAAAATTCTTCTATTGAGCAGGCTTATCCGCCATCATATTATGTCACCACTTTATTTGAATGTTTAAGTGTAAAACAGAATTTTCGTCAAAATATTAAGGAAATATGCCTGTACAATTATTTTTTCCGTTAAACTTTACTAAGTATTATAGTATGTGTAAGTTAGCAGGCGTGATCATTTTTTCGCTATTATTATTAATTGTTAGCATTAATCTATTCACAGAATGGTAGAAACAGGCCATTCTCGCATTCAAGTTCCTCCATGGGTTTTCATGGAGATCTTGACGAAAATGAATTGGAGTGTGACGACACTGAAATATCCCCGTTCACAGGTGTCTTACCGAACGAGTCAGAAGAAAACTGGAGGGTTAGTATTTGCCACTAGATGGCACAAAATTATATTTTTAGTCTAAATAGAAATTAACAATAATAAGAAAGTTTTGAGACACATTGTAGTTGTAGCATTACCTACTGTCTTGAAAAAATTGGCTTTATATCATTCAAATGGCGAAAATATTATAATCACAGGATATTGCTGTAATTACGCGTTTCTTCTCATCCTACATTTTCTCCTGGGGTTAAATTCCGGTTTAAAAATCAACGTCGATGATTCATAAAGCAATAGAAAGTTCTTGGAACTAATTTCCAGCTAGTTCGTAACCAGAGATTAGCACGAGGTACATCTGCCAGCATCTGATTACAGTATATGAGTTTTACTGATAATACCAATCCGTACAAAGTACTCTGCTAACGATAGTGTTAAGCCTCCCTGATCACGTGTTCGTCTATTACAATTGTAGTAGGTGGTGAATGCAAAAATTTGCCTCTAGTGGACAGTAATATCACGTTTGGCCTTTTGAAATTTGTTTATACTCTTTTCATAATTCAACCAGCATAATTCGTAAATCGCTGATTTTAAATTGATAGTAGCCACATATTTTAGGTAAGTGTTTAAACTTGTTGATTGTTTTAGGTAAGTAATTTTAGAAAGTCGTCAAGGAGAAAGTATTTAGGAAATTCGCATTTCTGTTGTCTTTGAGGTATTCGAGTATGCGTCACATTATCACCAAAACTGAATCGACTAATCAGAAAAATTAGGAAATTATAATTCTTAGATCAGAACTAAGGTTCTGCAGTTCCAACATTCGAATCCCGTTACCACAAAGAAGAAAAACCACTAGGCCACATCTGGCCTAGAGTATCCATTTGTGTCAAGATTTTGGTGAAAGTCAGTTGCCTTTTGCAAAATAATTTACCTATAAAAGACACGTTTTCAGCGTTAAACTAGTCACTATATGCCTCCCAATGGCACGCCTGCGGACTAACAACGCTGAAAATCGGGTTTCGATACTCGTGGTGGGCAGAGCACAGATAGCCAATTGTGTAGCTTTGTGCTTATACTACAAACAAACAACAGACACTGGAGAATGTTTGAAAGTCGTATTTATTTGCTTCTAAGCAGGATAGTGAAATCACCTTTAGCTTGTAACAGTAGATGGATTGATAAAGCAAAAACATAATTTACAGTAGAGATGGGCAATGATCTTAATTTTTAGAGCAGGTTGTGACTATGCATGTACTGGATAATCAGTCTTATTCATATGTCATTTCAAAACTATTCTATTACGTGGTCTAATGTCAGTATCACAAAACATTCCACATCAATTTTAGTTTTACAATAGTTTTATGACAAACTTCCACTGTGTCTTTTACGATACAGTTTCGACAAGAACTGGTTGACATCTACAATCATCTTCGAAGACTCTGTGAAGACCTAAAGAGAAGGAAGGACAGTACCTTCAGCGGGGTCCCTTTTTCTCCAGATGACATTAAAGCTCACCATATTAGGGTGGGCATGATCTCAGATATTCTACAAGAATTACGGCTTCTGATGCAGGAACTTTTGAACAACCACACAGATTCAGTAAGTGTCTCTAATAACTATGCAACTTCTGAATATTTGTTAGTGGTAGTTTCTTAGAGTTTTTAACCAATGAAAATCTTTTCGTTGTCCTCAAGTTCTTACCTTGCGGCTTCCAGTGAGAGTTGTATCTTCTATTGTTTCTGCTTTTGGCTGTTAACAAGATACAGTATTATTGATGTTCCTGAACCAAATGTATTATAATGATCGGTAAACTGACGTAGAAGACACAAGGCAAAATGACAACATAGCACATTTTTTAACTCATTAAAAGTTTTACGTATTTTATACATGAATTATGTACTATTCTGAAGATGACTCGGTACACAATGTTTATATATATAGATCTTTTACTTAAAACTAAGAATTTTTAACTTTTACAATTACAGCAGCACCTGCTATAAACAAAACTATGTATGATTTCAAATGTGAAAATTAATGTCAATCTCGAACTTTGTTTAAGCACACAAAAATGTAACGTCAGATGTGAGCACATAACAATGATGAAAAGTGGAAAATAGTAATATTATTAACGCTAACATCGGGAGTCAGTTGTACAGAAATTAGTGGCCGTTTTGGTCATCGCAATATCTTAAAAGGTATATATAAAAGCACTAATATTGTCTGCCAGCTATAACTGAGCATTACAGTTTTAAAAAATACCATTTTTTTGTTCGTTGATCCACCTTTTGTAGTGAAATCTTCATTTGAAAATGAGTTCTTCACACACCTTCATGTCAAGGTTTTGGTGAAAGTCCATTGGCCTTTTACAAAGCAATTTGACTATAGAAGACTTGTTTTCAGTGCCTAACTAGTGCATATACACTGGGAAAATGTCCAGTCTCAATGACAAATGCAGGATCGGAAGGTATGATACACTCATGATGGGATTTCTGTTGAAGTGATCAGAAAGAGAGATCATCCAAAAACTTTAGATTCCAATCAAAGGAGTACAAGAAAACTGTGAAGTAGAAGGAATAATAAGAACAAAATTGTTCATTAAATGACGTACTTTAACATAACTGATCAGACATCAACCAACGAAAGCCATAAGCAATAGTCGAAGAACATTTATGGTTGTTTCTACTAAGTGCATGCACAGTGTGTCCCAGATGTTATGAATATGTTGAAAATCATTCTTACAGTGCAAATCAAACTCAAAATGGAATGATTTTTTTTTCATCAACACCTAAGCAAAATTTTTGGAATTTCATTGTGTTTTTTGAAGCAAGAGATCAAACCATAAATTTGTGCAAAGTTTTATACCAGAAACCAAAATTGCCACCAAAATATATCAGTTTCTGGACAACCTACTCAATGTTCTATGGTTAAAATAAAATTAGGTTGAATTGTTGGTTGTTTCATAGTGATCATATGCTTTTAAATAAGTTTTTTAAAACTTTGATAACGTAATAAATAAATATAATTACTTTTAGTCAATCAGGACACACACCAGATAATTATTGTGTAGTTGTAATACACATGTATAATTTTTTTCAATGCTAAGTAATCAGTCCAGATAATTAACTTTAATCATTTTAAAAAGATCACTTTTATTGGGTTATGAATCATACAGTTGGTATATATATTGTTATTACTTGAAATAAAAATTTATCAGGAATTTTTTACAATGGTTATGGTGAAAAAAGCTAATGAACTTTAAATTACAGAGTGACAGTTATGTAGGGTAGGTTGTAAGATATAATCAAACACTGAATTCATAATTGCTGTCTGCTACAAGGATAACATGTTATATTATGTGATTTTGTTTTAATGTACATTTCAGTCTTGTATGGCATGCCAAACAGTTAAATACGATCAAGATATGGTCGAGAAGATTCAAAAAGATCTTGCGGAAAAAGCAGAAGAACTGAAGAGAAAATCAGAGAAAATATCAGAATTAACAACTAAAGTAAGAAGTTTCATATTATTTCAAGGATTGTTACATCAAACTTACTTTGTAACTCAACAATTTAGCCTTATTTTCACCCAGTTTAAAGCTGTCTAACTTACCAATTGTCTTAATCAGTAAAATATCCATTATCACTCTAAATATCAACCCTCTTCATACTACATAGGATGATATTTGTGTATTTTATTGACAGGCCCACCTAAAATTGTTTTCTTTATATGAATTTAGAGGAGTTTTTTTTTCACCAAAATTCAACATATTGTTGGACAACAAATGGTAGTTTTTAACAGTAACAGCCCTCATCAAATCAGAAAGGTTGTTAATAATAGTCTGGATATTGGTTTAAGAATTGTTAGTATATTAAAACTGTTTGTTTTAAAAGATAACTGTACAGGAAGCTGAGCTAGCTGCTTTGAAAGAAGAAAGAGACCATCTCCTAGATGATGTTGGGAACACCAAAATGGCCAAAGATGAAGTAGTGAAGAAGGCATGGGAAGTTCGAGACAAAGCCGTAGCCAGGTATAATTCTGTTAGACTGGCAGTTCTAAGGTTACCCTTTCTCAGTATAATGAGTAGGCAGCTTTTTCTTGGAAGTTATATTTTAGATAAGTGTGTCAATGACTTGTATTACATGTCATAGTTAAATATTATTGTAAAATATGTGTGTGTCATACCTGAGAGTGAATACCATTTCATTGTTTCTTTTCCTCTACTGAACTACTTGGTAATATATAAAGGGTGATTAAACAAATACCAAACTTGTACATAATCTTTATTTAGTTATTGACCAATACGTTTTCTGGAAGTGGATAAAATAATGTGGTTCTGTGTAGTATCTATCAAGATCTATTGAAACTCACCATGACAAAGGACAAGAATTGAAATGGGCTCACATTATAATTTTGGTATTGTTAAGTGACTTTTCTCATTTTTATATACGGTACTTAATAAATTTATATTATTGTGTAAAGATTCAAACATGTCTTTCATTTACGATTAACTATATAATTATTTTCTAGGAAAAATGCTGTAGAAATAGAGCTGGCTAAGACTAGAATAGACGTGATGCACATTAACAGCCAGTTAATGGAAGCAATCCAGCAGAAAGTCGAGCTGTCTCAACAGCTTGATCAATGGCAGGTAAGGTCAATGAACATACTTTAGTGTTGCTGTAACTTATACAGAGCTATTGAAATTCTGAAAGCATTCTAAAACAGTGTAGTACTCCAGGCAGAAAACTAATGTGCAATGGTTTATGAATTTTAACCAATTTTGTTACACACACACTAATCTGTGACAATAGATGTGAGCTACTGCAAATGTATGAATGGTAAGTTTTGTGGATTTTGACAGCAAATGATTCACGCGTTTATGTACCATGTAAACAATTTATGTCTAATGTTTTTAATTATAATTGCACTTAAACTGACCAAACCTTGTGATATTTTAGTATTATCAGTGAGGATTGCCAAACCATGATTCAATTCAGTCTGAAACTTTTATGGTTTTTCCAGTGTATTGGTTAATAATATGAAGTATTTCTCGTCAGTTCATTGTATGGAATTGTCTTCATTAGTGTATGCATTGCTTACTTTTGATCAAATGTTCCTGATGTTTTTACCAGGTTGACATGCAGGCTTTACTGGAGGAACAATTGAAATCCAAGCTTCATAATCAAGAACAAGAGGAAAAGGAAAAACACTATCAGTCAAAAGTTTCAGGACAACAAAAAAACAACAAGGGCAAACTGTTCTGGTTGTGGAGGTGACCCACCTTGTTTTTATAAAGCAAAGGGTGTAATGATTTGGGCTTCCAGGTTAGCTGGAATGTAAATATGTGTATATATATGTATATCTCTTTGTATTGCTATTTGTCAGTCCATAGCCAGAAAATGTCAAGCAGAATAGTATTAATTTACAGAATTGTAGAAACATACCACAACAGCAAACTGACATCAAATCACTTCATCTTTAGCTCTTTATTTGGAGGTTGCTTAAAATAACTGAATTATTCAAGATTAGATAGAGGCCTACACCATAGTATATCTACTGTTTAATAAGTCCAAAATGTGATGAAGCATCTTGTTAAGGCCTGAACAAGTTCAATGTTTCACCAATGCAGATGTTTTATGCAACATCAAATTTTTTGTATTGCATAAAAATAACACTTTTAGCTGCCATACATCCAGCCAGGCTTATGAGTTCTGGTATTGAATAAAAGGCCTCTCATGTAGTGGCATGTGACTAAAAGAAATTGATCTGGAATGTTAATTTCATGCATACCTGATTACCAACAGACACAGAAGCTTTTTCATTCTCATGTGGTTTTATACAGTAGCATCAAATGGCTGATGTCCATTCACAAGTTTCTACAACTAATTTATTTTTATATTTACATACTTATTAGTACTTTTTTGAACTAAACAAGTACAACCTTTGACCTGTTATATCTAAAATTGCAGACTTAAAGTGAGCATTAAACAGTATTTCTATTTTGTGTTAAACAGCTGGTATTAACTGTGAGAAATATGGCTGTTGTAAAAAAGAAACTCTGCGATAATTTTACTTAATGTATAAGAATTGGTTCTTATGTACAGTAGTGATTCCAGGTTCAGCCTGAGATTATACTTATTATGTTAGTGTAACACTAACACTTTGTTATTGGAATAAATGCATTGTGGTAGTCAACATGCTTAACAATATATTTCTTGTATTTAGTTGAAAAATATGAATCAATAGCTTAACTGTCACTGTAAAAGTCACTGCTTGTTTCGATGGCCTACTTCCTGAAAGAGCCGAGCTAATTGGTTACTTATCGTGTGAATTCTTTTTATGTTTTCCAATATCATGAAAGAAAACATTCAAAACAAAAGAGAAGAATTACCTTATGTCATGGTTAAGTGTTCAACACCACTTTCCATCAGAACGGATTCCTGGCTAAAACACTATTACTTTTCAGTCTTGTCATGGATGGAGCTTTTCAAGAATTATAGAGACATGCAACATAACACTCAGCTGAAGAACTTCCCCTTATAATTTTGGTTTTAGCTGGAGACAACTATTAAAATGAAGTTCAAAGTAATGTTTTCTCTTCTTTTTGCTATCTTATTTTGCACTGAAATGACTAAACTTACAAATGCTAAGCTTATCTCGGTCATCTGGCATGTCAAAATAACCAGTGAGTTTGAAAATTACATTCTTAATATTTAATTATAATCACATAAATATGTTTTTGGAAAGATATTTAATGAATGTCTGCCATGTCCATCATCAACTCTTTCAGTGAAAGTATTCTTTTAAACTATACTTCTCAAGCCCTTAGACCAGCTCTGCTTAATTATGATCTGCACAAATTTAAAATCTTCAAGAGAACATTTTCTTAGTTGATTCAATTTGGATGGAGAAGCTTCATCCACCTTTTGTAGTTATTCATAGAAAACATAAAAATAACTAACAATCATTTCAAACTATCACTTAGAAGCATCATCTCCAAAAATGAATTATTACAGTTTATCTAAAATGATTCAGTATATTTCTTGGCCTATTAAACAAACAATACATTATCTTTCTAAAAACTAATGTATTAACTGATTGCTGTGAAAGAAATAAGTATTTTTAACAAATTGCATTTATTAAGCCAAAAGCACCTTGGATCATCATGTTACTGCAATGAAGAAAGGTCCTCCTATTGAAAGTTTTCAGGATTATTTTTAACTATTCTTGCATCTTTAAGATAAAAGCAACTGATGTAATAAATGTAACCTGTGATTACGAGGCATTAGTGTATGAGTGGGAATTCCCTCAATAGCATTACTGATGAAAAGGATCTTGGCAGAGTGGTGGATATGTCATTCAAGCCATGACTATTAAAAAAATTAAAACTTTGTAAAAACATAACCCTTGAATATCAGTTTTATTTTCCATAACATAAAACATTTTTTTATCTATATTTATAGAGAACTTTTGTAGAAGTTTTCAGTTTTGTGAGGACATCAACATCCTATTTCCTCTGAAGTAAAACATGTCAAATTACAGTGATCATCCCAGCAAATAACAACTTAAAAAACACAGTAATATGAATAAAACTGACACCCCAAATGCTTTAAAACACTTATTAAAATAACAAACTAATATTTTCAGCAGTTTAATCACAATTTAAAGAAGATTAGCATAAAATACTCATGCTCCACTAAGGAGTGCAAGGGCCTCATTATAATTTACAGAAGCCCAGTGTACTAATCAAGTTTCTCCATTATCCACAACTACTTCTATAGCTATCTCAAGGGAAGGTCTGTACCCAAAAACAGAATTCTGTTAGGACAGTCTTGCTAGCATATAAATGGGGTATGAACAATTTTGAACATGACTCCCCTGGGATCCGGAAGAGCACCATAAACACAAAATTTGATGTCTGATTCAGGTTAAGTGTCACTAAAATCCTACTCCTATATCCTCATCATACCTAGGTGACCTTATGTTTGCATTTTGGCTGCTCTTAGTAATAGGAGCCCAAATAAGAGTCAGGAGATACATCATATAGATAAGGTACGCCGAGCCTGCATGCCTGTCAAGTTTGTTCCAGTTAGCTCCAAAGCTGTGGTAGGAGTTCATGGATAAACAAATTCACACACAATGTGAATTAATATAGAATGCAGTAATGAGAAAGGAAACTAAAGATTGAATGTAGCTTAAGTGTGATGATTTTTTCACACATTTTTAAACATCTTAAAACCAATGCTTTGAAGCTGTAAGTACAAAATACAAGCTATTTTCACACCATACCGTGTCTTTCCAACACTGGAAGCTACAAAGTCACTGCAAATTCACGTGATTGGTTACACTCATAATGCAGTGTCAGCAAAACTTTTGTTCTTAGTTTTATAAACCTTTATGAGTCTGAACTAAGTATATGGCTTATAGGCAATAAACACTTGTGTATGGAATTGGAACAGTGGGTGTGATTCATAAAATGTCAGCCAGACCTTTTGCTTAAATTTTGTCTGGGGTCTGTTTTTATTATTTTTCACTAGCTTTATTAATATGGTGACAAGAGTTGATAAAAAAATATTAATAGCCCATTTGAAAATGATTTAGTTAGTGGTAAAAAAACTTCCAAAATCCAGATTTTGAGCCGCTGTTGTTTGTGGAACTTTGCATAAAGCTACTTAAGGGCTATCTGAGATAGATGTCCCTAATTATGAAGTGATAGAGGGAAGGCAGCTAGTCAAAACCACCATCGTGGGCTACTCAAATTAAATTTTGGGATTTGACTGTCACTCTTATAATGTACCCATGGCTCCAAAGTGCAGAGTGCATTTTTTTGCAGTAACACATTGTGAAGACCAGCTGAGAAGGAATAGATGTGCAGCTAGGGGATAGTCTGCCAGCCCAAGCTGTTTTACCAACAGGAAATATAGTGGGCAGTAACTGGTGAATTTGGTGATCCATGGGACAATAGTAAACCTTTCCAGGATTATACTGCAAGTGTAACTATGGGTCACAGAGAAGGCAGTGGAAGTGCAGAGATGATGAGCTAGCTACCTTTGGTAACTTCTGTTCTACTTGTCTAAGTGTAGGGGTTGTAAAGAAAGCCCATTACACTGTATTTCCAATGTTTAGGGCACCCCAGCCTAGTGTTAGCCAATAACCCATAGGTGAGATGCTTATGTCTCAATCACAGGTCCCTGTGAGTGAGGCAAGCAGACCTCTGCCTCAACATGTAAGGGTGTGGTTAAAAAGGTCCTGGACAATTTCCTGATGTTTTTCAGGCAAGTTACTGCTTGGAATTGCTGAACTCCGGATCATCCCTAGTCAACAGCACCCATAGCAGCTCTTGTATTGCTCTAGTTACAAGGGATTGAGAAAAACAGCTAGTCAACAGCACCCATAGCAGCTCTTGTATTGCTCTAGTTACAAGGGATTGAGAAAAACAGCTAGTCAACAGCACCCATAGCAGCTCTTGTATTGCTCTAG